GCCTGGTTGAAATACGCGGGCGGTTCTAGGTCGGCTGTCCAGAGCAACGCGAGCAGCTCGTTTGTCCATATACTCAAGCACGGCCTGACGAGCACATTGGCGACGTCTCTCCATCTCGGCGAACGGCTCGTCGTGCAGAGCTGCGCTGTTGACCACCACGTTCGGCGACTCCTGCATCAGGTCGGTCGGCACCTCTGGGTTCCGACCCAGCGCAATCTGGTAAGGAGAGTGTCCGTGAGCCCGGAGTAGGCCGTTCTTGGCCATCACCACTGCTCTAACACACTCTGTCCAGCCGTCTTTGTCCGTCGGAATGTTCTGTTCCAGTACTTTGTTGAGAATGTCCTCGAACCAGGCACCGTGGCGTTCAGCGTGTCCCACTTGTTCGTGAGCCTCGCCGGCCGCGTCTGTCACCTCGATGCCCTGCTTCTCGAACGAGTCGATGATGTCCTGCCCGAGGTTGGTCTTCCCAGCGTCGCACTTCAGGAACTTGGGCGGCCCGTAGGGCATGCTCTAGCTGGTCTCGAAAATCTCCTTCAGCACCCTGCCCGTTTCCTGCTCGAAGAAAGGAGTCATTTGCTGAAGACCGCTGCTTGGGCACACCACGTTGAGAGCCTTGATCTTCATGCTCTCCTTCCAGCCGGGTAGCTCCTTGACGTCCATCTCCACCAGCCTCAATGGCGCCACTTTGGACGGAACCTTCACAGGTCGGGAGGACTTGGGAAGCCTCCGGCCCTCGCAGACCGAGCACGAGAATCCCCGGGCCATCGCCATCACCATCTCGCTAGCCTTCGCGTGCTTCAAAATGCGCACCACGTCCTCGTTGCTCGGGTGCCCCAGATTCGCGTGGAGCCTGCGCAGGGACGATTCTAAGGACAGCTTTCTTCTCTTCACGATCTCGGGGTCCTCAGTCACCGAGAGCACCTCCGTGTGGTACCTGATGTCGTCCACCTCTAACTGGCACAGTATCGCCGCTGCGATCTTCTTGCTCAAGGATACCTCTCGGAATATTGACTTCTCTTGACGCCTTGTACGCTGTCCCAGCACCATTGATGTTCGTGGTCCCGACGACATCGCAATTCTTTCATCATCCACTTCAGCGAGTCCGCGTTGGTTGCGAAACACCACTCCTTCGACATCGGCATGCTCGTGATAGGATCGCGAAGTCCGACTCGACACCCACTCACTGACACTCGGTGTACCTCTTTCTCGTTGCACAGATTCCACACGGTAGCACAGTCCCAGGACTTCGCACTTGGTGGTGCTTCTATGGTGAAATACTTACCCTTCCTGATCTGCATCTTTGCCACCACGACACAGAATCGCAGGTACCAGGTGGCCTCCCTGACCATCTTCCGATGCTCCTCTGGGTCCTTTCTGCTCGACTCCGGCGTAAGATTCTGCAGAATGGACAAGGCGCCACACGGAGGGCTCATGCCGACAAACTCGGGCTCCTCCACGTCGATCAGATGCAGGATGTGGTGCCTATCTTCGGCTCGTCGGGCGTCCCAGCCGTTCTTCAGGTCGAAGGCGCCGAGGTTCTGGAAGCCCAGGTTCTCGAACTCCACCGTCAGCCGCGGCTCCGAGAACAGTTCCAGACACTTCGGTTGCATCCCTAGCCGAGCCTGCGCTGCCTTAGCGCCCTTCACCACCTCCTTCTTGGCCTTCCTACTCATGATGTCCGTCACTCCCGCGGTCCAGAGTGCCTCCGACTCCACCTCGTCGTCGCTGGTCTCAGGGCTCCGACCCGGCCCTACCGAAAACCAGTCGCCGCAGCCTCCACAGACTCCGCCAGCTCGATCGTCTCGGACGTTGCCATCACATCGACTTCTGCAGTCTGAATCTTCTTAATCTCGCCGTCCTTCATCTCACAGAGGTTCAGCTGGTAGTGACCACTGGCGGCGACCTTCAGCGGCACCGCGACGTTGATCCTGGTGAATCTAATCTCGTCCCTCTCCATATACAGGATAGCTCCGAGAGCTTTAAGCATCGGCTTGCTGACTAGCAAGGGAGTCCAGCCTGGCACCACGCACAGCCGAAGGAGCAACATCCTTCCGCCAACGCGGCACTGCATCTCAACCGAGTAGATAGACGACAGTGTCTCCTGATTTCCAAACTTGAACGTCGTGGTCCTCTCTTGCTTTAGTACATTAACCTTCAATCCTGCTTTCATCATCTCCTGCCTGTGCTGCGCCAGGGTCTCCTCGCCGATCACTCCCTTACCGCATCCGGTGTCCACGACGCCGTTTCCTGGCTCATGAGCTGTCGTATTCAGTACCTCCGGAAACTCCAAGTCGCCGTTCTGACCGCTGAGGCTCCAGTACTCCTGGATGATGGCCTGCACATCCTTCTCCAGCTCTTCGTAGGCGCTGATGACCGCGCCCATCTCGTCCTCGGAGTTTACCTCATCGGGCTGAACGTCCTGGTGGTTCTGCAGCTCCATCTGTACCTCGTCCTCGCAGACTTCGCACTCGAAGCTGTCGTGATCGTCCTCGACAGTGTACACCACGTTGACGCCCTTCTCCTTGCCCTTGCCTTTGCCGTCACGGGGTGGCGGTCGTCGCTGTCTTTTCGGCTTCTTGCAATCCCGACTGAAATGGCCGACCTCGTCGCAGTTGTAGCATCGCACTCGCTTCGCCAAGGTTTTGATGTCTGGCTTCTTTGGTCCGAACCCTCGCGCCAGCTGTTCCTTGGATATCTTGTTGCGCTGGTCGCGCCTCGTCACCAGAATCTCGATGGCCTCGCTCTCGTCCAGGACGGCGTTCTCATCCTCGTCCTCCTGGAGGCCAGTCATCAGCGTCTCGATGTCCAGGTGGCCATCTTCTTCGTCATCAACCACGTGTGCGTGGTAAGTCTTCTTCTGCTGGCCGAAGTCGGTCGTACCGTTGGGGAATGTCGTCCTCAGTGCCGATGCTACGTCCCGCTCCTTGTACGATCTCGACGATGCCGCGAGCACCACTGCCATACATTGTGGTGGGAGATGCGCTCCCAGCAGTAATAGATAGCCTCGAGCCATGTCTGGCAGCACGACCCCCTCGGCCTCGCCCTTGGCGAACGTCGCCTGGGCCCTGCCGCAGTACGCCGCCATCGCCTCATTCTTCGCCAGCTTCAGCGAGAACACCTCCTGGAGCGCCTCGCCGAGCCTGTCATGTGCCGCGACGTCCGGGAAGTGCGCGTCGAGCGTGTCGAACAGCACCTGCTCGCCGCCTTCCGTCTCCAGGTCGTCCATGTCGATGATCTCCATTGCACGCGCCGCCACGTCGTCCAGCAGCGTGAACACCGTCGGCCCGATGGCCGTCGGTGGTGTCCCCTTGGCCCGCTGCACGATGATGTATGCCCGAGCCCACTTTTTCCATACACGATAGTCGCGAAATGCGTCAGCTCCACTGCCGGCAAATCTCCTGATGCCGCCAGTCTGCCCAGCATCCGCGTTCATCTGGTTGCGCACCGCCGGCACTTACCTGAGTGCCTCCCTGCAACAGCGCCTGCTATTGCGCGGCCCGCTCCGCTCTACCAATGCAGATGGCTTCGAGAATGGAGCCCCCGCCCCACCTTTCCTCACCAGAGGCAAGCCAAATGCTGCGACACAGACTCAACACACACAGTGCACATCCAGGCCCAGCTGGGCCTCCAATACTTCAAAGGGGGCCCACTAGGGCCGCACGTGACTACACACAGTCACTACGATCAGCAGTAGGTTCCATACAACATTTTTTTCCACTGCTGGAAGTGCCCCGTTGGAAGACAACCGTCTGAGAATCCGCAATTGCTCTAACACATCACTCTTTGCATTTCAACGCCGCGAATCAACTTTACTGTTGCGTCCTGATGATCCTGCATCGTGCCAGAACATTCCTGGGAATCCAACACCGCCAATCAACGTGACTGGTGCGCCCTGAATCCTAAATCGTGCTGGAACGCTGTTTCTGGGACGTCAGCCATAATACTCCTTAAAACCGTTCAAGCTCTTAAGACGAATGTGCGCGGCGCTGAGGCGAGAGCCACATTTTGAAAACGACCCGCTCTGCATCCGTGAATTCTCTTGCAGAGTTGCAAGGCGTGTGTGCGCGGCGCTCAGGCGAGGCCACATTTTGAAAAGGAAGCGCCCTCCATCCGTGAAGCTCTTGCGAACTTTTGAGACGGATGTGCGTGGCGCGCAGGCGAGAGCCACATTTTGAGAAGGCACCGCCCTCCATCCGTGAAACTTCTCAAACACCAGTAAGACGAGTCTGCGCGGCGCCAGGGCGAGGGCCACACTTTCAAAAGGAGCCGCCAGCCGTCTGCGAAGACCTTTCAAACTCTGAAGGCGAACCTTCGCAAGACGAGTCTGCGTGCGGCGCGTGGGGCGAGGTCTACGTTCTGAGAACCACCCACCCGCCCTCCATCCGCGAAGCTCGTGCACACTTGTAAGGCGAACGTGCGCGGCGCTAAGGCGAGAGCCACGTCTTGAAAATCGCCTGCCCTCCATCCGCGAAGCTCGTGTACACTCGTAAGACGAGCGTGCGCGGCGCTGCGGCGAGAGCCACACGGTTGACAACGGCGCGCCCGCCAGCCGTGAAGTTTTTGCAATTTCCGAGCTGCAAGCTCATACAGTGGAGACCCATGCCAAGCAACATCCTGCTTGACTCTAGGGTGCCCAGGGTTTCTCGGGTTTCGATGGTTTTGCTATGGAAGCGTGACGTTCCCACACCAAAATCAATGGACGTGCTGGGGTCTCAGGGTTGGGTTTCTTGTGATAGTTCTCTTGTGGACAGGCCTCCACTGTACTCATACATGATAGGGAGTCTTAGGCGAAACGCCTGGCCCGCCCTATCAGCGCGTCTCGGGGTGCGACATGGGAGGAGCTGCTTCTGAGAAGCAGGGATGGAGAAAAGAGGGGGAGGAGGATTAGGAATAGGATAGGGAGGAGGAGGAGGAGGAGGAGCAGGAGGAGGAGGAGGATGAGGATGGAGGAGGAGGAGGAGGAGGAGGAGGAAACTGAGGAGGAAGAGGAGGAGGAGGAGGATACCTAATCTGACCATGCGGCGGGGGAGGGCTTGCGTCCCTTGGGACACGAATTCGGCCCATGCTTCGCATGGCAGCCAGAACAGCTAATGAATGACTGTCCCGCCTCCGCCAGGGCCAGGAGTGCCAGGCGGGGAGGCCGCTCGGGCAACGGCTGCTGACCAGCTGGGGTCCGATGCAAGGGCAGCGGCCTGGCCGCTTCCTTGCCTCATCGTCTGGAGGGAGCCTGGCGTGCTCTGCGGCTGGCCTTGCAGCGGTTCGGGGGAAGTTGCGCCTCTGCGTCGTGTCTCAGTGAGGTCGCGCTTCTTCTCACGCGTGATGGAGGCCCGTGCGCCAGAGTTCTGCTGCCAGAGGCGTGGGCCCTAGGGCGGGACAGCTCTCAGAGGGTGGGTTCCTTGGTCAGTCGGGCCATCGCACGCCTGATGCGTTGATTGGGCACTTGTCATGGCGCCAACATCGCAGAGTGGATTTCGTTTGGATTTCAATAGTATGGACCCGGAGAGTCCTCGAGAATTTCGTTCCGGATTTCGAAGTGAATTTCGTGAGGATTTTTTTGGCCAGGAATGAAGACTAAGAACAACCCACGCGAAATTCACTTCGTTTTTCACTCGCCTTTTGGGGGTTTTGCACTGGCAGAAATCCACGCAAAAATCCGCTGCGGAACGTCTGCAAGGTCGGTGCAGTGACACTTGTCGTCTTCCAGTGCCACCAGCGCCCGCCACACCATCTCCAACAGTAAAGCCGCAACTCGGTGGCGCGCCGAGGGGGGGGGGGTGGGAAGGCAGAGATGGCGGGCCTTCTCAGAAGTCTCATGAGTCCTTCGGCCTGACGAGAGGCTTTCTAAGCCCTCTCCGAGGCAGCAGAGGGCTTTTCAGAATGCCTCGATGTCTGGGAAGCCCGTCGCCTTCTGGAGAGGCTTGCCCCCCCTCACTTCCTCCCTCGGCGCGCCGCCGAGCTACTACAATAATCTATCGCAGCAACCATCGCCTCCCCCACACGATAACCACACCATTTCCACCACCGCCGCATCCAGCGGGAACGAGGACGACAGCCGCCGCTACCATCAGCCCCACCAGCACCACTATGATTGTTAGACTGCCATCACGACCACAGCCATCAACACCACCACTGCAGCCAAGACCCTGAGGAGGGGCTCTAGTTTTCGTACAGTTTCTCAGATCAGGGTCGGTGAATCCATTCCTGGCAGAGGCACGCCATGGCCAGGAACAGCTCCTTACTCAGCACCACTTGTCGCAGCACCATGACCGTACCATCACGACCACACCCATTGGCACCAACATTATTACCGCCTGGACCGTACTCACCACCAGTGATTTCCCTCTCATGCTGCGCTGTCGCACTCCTGCCATGTGTCACACTTCCGCGTAGAGTCCGTACCACCCTGCGGTGGGGAGGCTAATGGTCAGGAGCGAAAGAAGGACGTACATGTACATGAATCCACGCTAGTTTCGAGAGTACGCATTGCGCAAATGTTCGTATAACGCGGCCAGTCTCGCGGATCGAGGGGCCGTGTTCATGTACATAGCTGGGCGCGTACGTCCTTTGTGGGCTCCCTAAATGGATGTTGGCTGAAATGCGGGCCGATATCCACGACATCGGAAATGCTGCGGTCGGCGTCATGGGGGAACGCACCGATTTCGACCAGGCCTGGGGCCCCCGAAGGGCCCGAAGCCACCGTTCTTCCCCGCTCTTGCCAGTTCAAGTTCTCCACACGTAGTTTTTGTCCCCCCTCCTCCTGCCCTCCTCCTCCTCCTCCTCCTCCTCCTCCTCCCCCTCCTCCTCCTTCTCCTCCTCCTCCTCCTCCTCCTCCTCCTCCTCCTCCTCCGTGCACGTTATCCTTCGATTGTAACTCTCCCCGCTCCGAACTCCAGCCCACCCACAGGACTGCTGCCGCTGTCCTCCTCTTGGGTGCCCTGTCTTGACATATGCCGTCCTGCGTTGTTGTGCGTCATGCTGACATGCGGCCGACGCCATGTGACAGCAGTGGCAGGTGCGCATAGGAATGGTAGTCATACTGTGATTTTGTGATGTTGGTGATGTGGTGGTGAAGGTGATCTGATGATGAGATGGTGGTAACCCCACAAGGCACGTTATTGTGAAGTTGCATTTCTTCAGGTCTGCGTGGAGCCAGCTGCCCCCAACATCCGTCCCTGATGGTTGTTGCCTTCGTAGCGATGCTCTTTAACTTCTGCATTGACTCATCCTCCATCGTCTCTGGGCTCGTTGGTCAAATTCATTAATGCGACCGCCAGCCTGGATTTCGCTACTCGGAACTTCTGTTCTGGGCCCCGGCTCCGCCAGAGCAGCCCGCAGGGGCTCCGTGGGGCCGAACCCGTCCCCCAGGGACGCTGCGGACCCGAGCCTAATTACCAGACGCCGCCTAAAAGGCCGCCGCTCTCCTCGAGCGGAACGCAGGCCCGAACATCGGCACCACCAAAAGATACTTCGCGCGCGCTCAGAAATCTCGTAGGAGAAGCTCCGTGGCGAGCGCTTTCTGGCCATATCGCTCGGGAAACGAGATGCCCTAAGACTCGTGCGCTAGATGTTCGTGTCGGACGTGCGCCTCCAACATCAGCACACGGCGGATTCTGGAAGCCCTGAAGCCAAAGTTGTTACGATCTGTCGGGGGCGTGTCTTTCACTTCCGCCGGCCTTCCGCCGGCTTCCGCCCAGGAAGAAGATGGCAACTCCTTCGCTCTTTGAGGACAAGGACCTATCTGCAGCGCCCCACACAGTACTACTACCCTCGTCTTAATTTACCTCAAAGATGGTGAGCACGCCCCTGCCATGTCGGCGCGCCCTTCAATGTCGATACGACGCCCCTCCAA